ACACACACACACACACGTCACTCCACCCTGATCGCCCACCCAGTTAGCATGTGATTACCTTAGCATCACACACACTTCAACCAAACATACGCTGCATTCTAATTCCCTGTCTGTTTCTCTTGTTCCAGGCTCATTATTTTAGATTTGGGTTTCTTCAACACACTGTCATGATTCAAAGAATATTTCAAGCAACATGATTTCCCTTTTTGGCAGAAGATATGACTCAAAAATGAAAATTCTGTCATTATATACTAGCTCGCCCTCATGTCTTTCCAAACCTGTATGACTTTCTTTTTTGTACAAACAATAGCAATGTATAGTCAATGGGGTCCAATGTTGGGGAAAACATTAATCAAAATATCTTTGTTTGTGTTCTGCAGAGGAAAGAAAGTTATACAGATTTGGAATGACACGAGAGTGAATAAATTATCACAATTAAAATTTTTGGCTGAACTATCCATTTTATTTTATTTTATCTCAAACCTGTATGACGTTCTTTTTTTCAATGGGATCCAATGGTGTGCAAAACATTATTCAAGATTATTTTTTGTTCTGCATAGGGGAAAAACGTCAGAGGTAAATAATGACAGCATTTTCATTTTGGGGTAAACTATCAATTTCTCCATATTGGCATTTTATATCAGGGTTTGGTATGTCTATTTATTTCTTCTGTAAATTAAATGAAAAATAAGCTATGTATTAAACAACCACGTTCTACACACACACACACACACACACACATATATATATATATATATAACAGTGGCAAAAGGCAGAGTTTGACACATTTTTAACTGTCATCCCGCACAACCTTAATTCCCCTATTCTATGCCATTTGATTTATCCATCGGAGACACCATCTGAAAAGACACAAAGTGACATTGTAGCATTCCATGGAGGTAAATCAAAACAGAAAATGATGCAATGAAAGGAAATTGGAGACGGCGTGGGTGAATGTAGTTAACTCGTGATTTGGTTTAGCATTTGAGCAGGTGAGTTGAACTTAACAGGTCTGAGATGTTTGTTTCTAGCTGTCAGTGGCTTAGTTGAAGCGTGTGTGTGTGTGGAGGTTCACTGCTTGAGCCTTAGAAACAAATCACTTGACATTTTTCCTTACCAGCTAAGCGGTTTAATTTGCCCACCTTTTTAGTCTTTGATTACAAATTTCTTCCAGTCAGTGAAGTGCTCTTTGCCATCAGCTGCTAATAGGAAGCAGGATTTTTGCAAACAAAAAGGATTCTATTCCTAATTCCACAAAGCATCTGAGACATTTGGTGTTTCAATTCTGGGAAAAAGAAATTAAAGTAAAATTAGCTTTTGGAACAAAATTTTAAATCGTTCCAAACATGTACAACTTTTCTTTTCCCCAAAGTTGACTGTTAAAAATAAAGGTTTATAAAGGCATTTATATTTCCATGAAGAACCTTTAACATCCATAGAAGCTTTTCATTCCAGAAAAGGTATTTTATAGTGGAAAAAGGGTCTTTAGATTTTTTAAATGTTCTTCACACTAAGAAAAAAAATGTTCGGTTCTTTTAAGAACTGTTCAATAAAAGGCTCTTTGGGGAACCACAAATAGTTCTTCTATGTCATCACTGATGAAAACGTCTCGGGTTACTTATGTAACCATGGTTCCCTGAGTAGGGAACGAGACACTGCGTCCTCTAGGGGTCGCTATGGGGAACGGTATACC